AGGGGAGGGGGGAGGCCCTCTGTCCCTGTGTTCCCAGCACAGCCGCCCCCTGAGACCCGGTGGGTTTGGACCCGACGGTGGAGATTCGGGAACGGGGAGGGGTGCGGAGCCTCCCCGCAGGCTTTCCACCCCGCCGGGGTTCCGGGCGCCGAGCTGCAGGAGGGCTGGAGAGCACGGGAACCTCCCAGCCGCGGGTGGTTTGGGGAAACAGTCATACCTGCTGTGAAACCTCCGCCTGAAACACAGAGAGGACAGAGCTCCTGGGAAATAACAGAAAGATGAACCTGGTCCAGCGGGAGTGCGGGTTTCCATAGGGGTGCCTGGGGGTGTCCCTTCGTAACTGACAATTCCTCGGCCCCAGCTGGCAGGCAGCAAAGAAATTTGAGTCTTTTGTAGAAATAAACAGGTCATGGAGCTGGGGAGGGCGAGTTTGCACACTGTGAGGTTTTGGGTGCTCCAAAATGTAAAATATGGTGTGTGTGTGTATCTGTATACGTGTGTGTATGTGCATGTATCCATACCCACACAAATTCCTGCCTCAGGTGGATCGAAAGAACAACTTGGGGTGTTCACCTTGGCGAAGGAGCGGCATGTAAGCCACATAAATGCCCCTTCTGAAAACTGGGAATCCAGGAGCTGGATCTCCACAAAAACCACTGGGTGTTTTCTCTGGGAGACAGTCCCAGGGCTGATTTCAGCACAATCCTGGCCAGGCACAGATAGGGAGTACAAAGAATAGAGGCTGCTCAAGAAATACGAGGTGTTTTGGAGTGATCTGGTCTCACTGCTCTTTTTTTTTTCTCTCCACCCCGCTCCCTGTTTCCTGCGCCAGCTTGTGAACACGTTCTTTAGTTTCCTGAGGCGTAGAACGGATTTCTTCACTGGTAGAGAAGACGGAGTAGCAGAGAAGGTAAAAAACCCCAAATCCTCAAGCTTTTATGTCTTCTAACTTCCGTTAGAAGTGTCAGTGCCGTGCTGAGACCTCCCTGAACAGCTCAGCATTGCGGTGCACTTGGGCAGCAGCAGCCTGTGGTGCTGATCAGTACGTCACTGAAGCAAGGTAACAACAAACTGCCCCTCGCTGGGGCTGGGGTGAGGCACGGACAATTGCTTGTTTGAATGGTACTGATGGTGCAGAGTTTTTTTTGCCACGCTCTGGCCAAAGGCTTGTTTGGAAAGCAAATGAGCCAGACACACTGACTGAACGGTGACAGACACCGCAGTGTTGATAACCCCGGATTACCTTGTTTATTCATCTCAGAAAAAAAAGCACAAAGTCCACATCTCTGCACCTTTGTCGGTGGTACCTGTACAGAGCGAGCCTGGGGGCGTCCAGGTGGCCTTGTGGGCAGCCTGAGCCAGCAGGTATTCCTCACCCAGTTCGAAAGCTGAAAAATAAAATTGTTTCACTGCAGGGAAATAAGAACCAGAGCTTGCAAATGTGAACTTGTTTGTACTTACCAGTACAGCAGCTGTTCCCCTGCCTGGAGTACGGGAACCCCCCAGTAAAGCAGGCACTGCTGCCGTGTGGAATGCGTTGGGGCAGATGTTAGTTGCTGACACAGGGTGTAACCTTGTCGTGTCTCTGAAGTGGCAAAACAAAGGCAGGCAGGAGATGGGAAAGTGGATGGTTTCAAGGGAAGAAGGATGAAGCCTGCTGCTGTTTTTTCTTAGACTAGAGAGCAAATCTCCCTGAATTCCTGGGGAGTCTGTGCTCCCAGGGAGTGAAATCCTGAGCTTCAGAGAGAAGTTTCAGAAATGAGCACTGGCTGGTGCTTTTGGAGGTCCTGGCTGCTGTGGGCAATTCCTGAGCAAATCCGTGTCTGTGCCTGTAAAAGAAAAGTGCCTATGTCCTTGGTACCTGTCAAAATGCTTTATGGTTTTCTGAAAAGGTGCTCAGCACAGAGATTTGACACCATAGTAACCACAAGAAGTAAAGAAGCTGCTTCCCCATCCTGCTCATGCTTTGGCACAAAAGAGGAGAGGCTGGGAAGGTCATTGTCTTTCACGGGGTGCCATTTCATGGGGTGCCATTTCAGGAGCCCTCCTGGTGTAGAGTGAGGGGGGTGCGGTGGTATGTTGAGAGAAGCGCGGTGTGTACGCGCTGACAAGCCCGGGCAGTGTCAATCGTTTGCTCAACGTGGATCATCCCGCGGTTGGGAACAGAGGCTGGGAGATGCTCGTCTTGAATTCTGTATCCTAGGAGACGCTGGACTCGCATTGTGTAAATAAATCTTGCTTTCCACTTTAAAAGAAAGCAGAAATACTTGGTGGTTGGTTACAAAACTACGAGGCGTGGATGCTTTGAGTTGCTCTGGAAAGGTGCTGATTCCCCCCAGAAGTTTCTGGGATGTATATGAACCCCTACCTGAAACCCCCGTCTCAGATATCTCTCCGCTCTGATTCCTTTTCTCAGGTTCTGTTTGTCCTGTTGTCAGGAGGACACTTCAGCTCTCATACGTGCCGCTTTGCACAGCGCTGCTGCTGCCATTATCAACCGCGGGGTGATTGCTCTGGCTTCCTGCCTGTGTACTCAGCTTTCCCTGTGAGCAGGACGGCCGTTTGCACCAGAGACCTTGAGATCTTGCTTTTCATAGTCACAACAACAAGAGAATTTGGAGTGAGGTTTGAAGTCAAAGGAGGAACTTGCCCCTAAATGGAAAACACTGAGCTTTTCAAATGTTTCTCCCTAAATCATGACAATGAATCTCCTTCTAGTGCTCGGGAAAAGCGCCGTTGTGGGAAAGGTCAGAATTAGTGAAAAACCTTGGGTCCAGCGTCTTTTTCCAGCTAGGTGTGTGGAGGAGCTGTCACATGGCTGGGTGAGGCATCTGGAAGGCCAAAACAAATGCAGAATTTTTATTTCCCTGTATCTCCATGGAGATACACTCCCTGTGTAAGGAAGAACTAGGAAGGGCTACATTTAAATATTTAGAGTTTTCTTCTACTCTGGATTTTCAGTCAAAAGACTAGAGTAAAAATGAAGGGAAAAGTCACACCATCTGTACAAATAACAAAAGTTCTCCTCGCTAGACAGTGACTTGGCTTCATGTGGGTTTGAAAACCCTTTGACACGTGTTTCTGTCTTGCAGCTGATCACAGACACCTTCAAACATCACAACAAAGTAGCTCAGAAAGAGCGCGAAGAGAAAAAGGCTCGTCAAGAGGCAGAGCGGCGTGAAAAGGCAGAGAGAGCTGCGAAACTTGCTAAAGAAAAGCAAGAAGCAAACGAGCCAAAGATTAAGGAACTTACAGATGAGGAAGCGGAAAGGCTGCAGCTGGAAATCGACCAGGTGAGAGCGATGTCTGGCGCCTGCGGGTACCAGATTAAATTAGCCTAAGCCAAATTATTGCATTTTCACATGGATTGTCCCATAAATCACTTTGCCTTTCTGCTTCAGCAAGCTCTCTGATTGCAGTGACACCCTCTGCTACACTCATCGAGGTGTGAGGACCAACTAACACTGTTCGAAGGGCTGACAATTCCCTGTCGGTCTCTGCAGTTCCGAGTCCTGCTCTTTAGTTTCAGCGGAAGAGGCTGAGGCCACCTAGTGTCACATCAGCAAGTAACACAAAGTGACAATGCTTGTCTGAGCATGTTTGTTATTTTTTTTTAAACAGAAAAAAGAGGCACAAGGACAGACTAACAGCATCCCAGTGAAACCCTCAGAGGATGGAGATGAATCTTCAGATTCTAACAAACAGGTAAAGCTCATTTAGGGACTTTATTTTAGGCTAAGGAAGGTATTCTGGGTCTGGCTTTCTTTAAGAATACACACGTAACTCCCAAAGGCTTCAATATGGGGGTTTTTTGGCTTTTTTCTTGTAATTATGTCTTAACAGAAACACCTATTCGTTTTAGGCTAAATTTATGTGAATATCAACTGCATGCAGCTGACAGTATAAAATATATATATATAA